GAATTCCCCAGCCAGCATGGGGCTGGGGAATTTTGGGAGTTGAAGTCCACTCATCTTAAAGTGGCCAAGTTTGGACAACACTGCTCCAGATAGAATGGGGCTGCAACAACTGAGAATTGTCTCAATTTATCTGGATGCCACTAAGTGGGGGGAATTGGTGAATCTTCACCCTAAACATCTGCATGTATTTTGTTTGAACTGCCATGCTACACTACACTTGATTGTAGCTAATAATACATCTACCTACTACTCTAACTCCAACCCCCTCATAATAATGTTGCCAAGTTTGTGTAACAGTGTGCAAAATTCATCAGGAATTGCCCGCCAACTACAGCCAACTTGCTTTCACACAGTTCATGTCTATTATTTTGTTTTTGATCTCCAGCTACTCAGTATTACAGTCTGATAGCTTAATATTTAACTTTTTAAAGGACACATATACAGTATAGTATCTCACTATATTACACCTGCATTTTCAAATTTTTAGTTAATGTATATCTTGTTATAGGCTGTGGTTTTGCAGCATATTTTGTCCTTGCTAGAGGCAGTACTAGCATAGAGGTTGCAAGTCTAAACCCGCACTTCTACCTCTACGTGCTATTTGCCAGACTTTGGCCTATTCTGTAAAGACAAACTGTTCAGATAAAGTTCAAGGTACTATACAACTCTGAAAATAGGTTAATTCTCTAAACCAATCATGTACTATATGAATATACAACAAGAGAAAAGCAAATCATGCTATCACTGAAAATAAAATATTTGCATACCTGTTGAAGAAGATGGGGATATCTTGCTTGAACCTGACGGACAAACTCTTGGCCTTTCCTATAAATCAGGTATTCACAACTAGAAGAAAAGTATATCAAGCTTAAATTTCAATATGCAGGATAGCTGCTGTTGTAAGAACATTTATTATTAGCCACAATGCTCTGCTTAGTGGGCCAGAGATATAAATATTAAAACCTGACCCAGGAAAATACGTTGAAGCATTAAATGTATCCATTCCATTTAAACTGAATTTAGAAGTATGTGAAAAACATTACCCAATGAACAGCGAGAGAACCAGAACTAATTATATCAACTCTAGCAGCCTACAGTCTTTATTTTATATGCAATTTATATCCTATCACATTTCAAAGTAATTCCAAAATTACTAGCTCCAAACATCTTCACTACAAATGGAATCTTTATTAGACACAGTTATATTAAAATTCAAGAACTGTATTTTTGTATAAACCATATCTTAAGCCGAGCTTGGCCCAGATCCCTAGAATGGTGAGCCAAGATTTCATTCACCTGGAAACTCCTAAGGTTTTACTCTACTTCATGGACCAAAAGGAGTTATTTATTCCACTCCCTGGATTAGAATCATATATTTTTTTTAAAATCTAACTTTAGTTATCCTGGCATATGGAGTATGACCCAGTCATTACAATACTTGATTAGAACCTAGATAAAATGGCTTTGTTAAATACCTTAATATTTCGTGTTCTTTAAAACTGTCAATATTGTTGGGGGGGGGGGTTTAACCCAACAGGACCTTTGAAATAGCTACAGAGGAGGAACACTTTCATACTTGAACCAAAGTTCAGCATCTTGCTTTCCACGGCAGCTAAGAAAATGCTCCAAATCTGTACAGCCAAGCAGAGAAGGAAAGACTTCTCCCATAGCAATTTGTATTCAGTATGCAAATACACGCAAGACTGATGAAGCACCTCCTTTCAAATGAGTAAAGCAGTCATACAATTTTCCCAGTAGTACATGGCAGCTTCAGAAACTGTGACTGGATGTGTAAGAAGCAGCCACATGACCAGCAGAGACAACTGCTTTAAAGGTATTCAGTATCTCCAGAAAAACACAATCCTTTTCAAGCCATCTTTCAAATAATTCCTGCCAGTTTAACTAAAGTTCAGTTCTAGCACAAGGTATGCCAGCTATTCATTCCATATGTTCTCCCAAAACTTCAGATTTATTTCTTGAATAGCAACGTTTCCTGCTGCCTTCACAAACCACTTTTGAAGTTAAGGATGTACCTGAGATAAACACTCATGATGAAGATGCTTCACACTAACACAGAAGCTAGTCTGTTCCAGCATGAAAATTTTAAAATAGATCTCACTCAGTAATCCTTTTCAAAGAAATCAGGAATAGTTCTACCTTTAATTCAACAGGGCAGCAGTATTGCAATTAGCTCTTTGTTATTATATTTTTAAAAAATGAAGGGTACCTTGGAAACCATTTAGCATGCTCCACCCATGGATCATCCCCAGACTCCCAACACCGGAGTCCACCATCACAGCAGAAACATTTGACATCATCATTGCGACCTTAACAACAAAACATTCATGAAGTAGTTAAACAGAAAGACAAACAGTAAAATTAACTGTTCAAAAACTGGAGTAGATCGAAAACATGCAAGAAGGACAAGTTCACTTACCCACATAATAGAAGCCAGCTTCCGCCAGTTGCTGTGGCTGAACCGGAACTGTAACTGGCCAATTTCTGAAAGATTGGACACGCGCTACGTACATTTGCATGCCCAAATTAAAGACAGCAAAACTTGAATTGTTTTGAATTTGTTCCACAAAAGGACAGTTTGGAAAGTGCCTTCGATGTTCTGACATAGCATTATCCTTTGGTTCCCAATTACTCAATTGACCACCACAGGCAAAACAAGCCACCTTGTCTGCAGGTCCCACGTAATAAAACCCAGCTTTTGCTAAAGAAGATGGGGACAAAAATGTCAGGGGCCATGTCTTGAAAGTAAGTAATCTGCTTTCTTCTGTGCTCATTGCATGGTTGCTAGACTTTGATCTCAAATGCGACAGATCTTCCATTCCTGCAGATGTAACTGGATCTTGAGGAAAACTGGAAAAGCTTCCATTGTAATAGCCAACTTGACCCAAACTTAATGTTTGCATTGGGGAATGCGTAGAGGTAAGTCCAGAGTTAGTTGGAGGTGAAAAGGCAGAACGAAATGATGAGCCAAGTTCAGTCACTGAAGTCAGACTCTGAACAAAACTGCAACTAGGATAGAGTTGTTTATGCTTCTCCAGAGCACTGTCGCCTTTCTTCCAGTTATCCAACATTAAGCCACAACTGTAACATTTCACTTTGTCTTTTAGACCAGTGTAATAGAAACCAGCACGGGCAAGACTCCTTTCAGATATTGGTACGTTCAGTGGAAAAGTAGAAAATGTGGACATCCTGTAGAGTTCACAAGATAGGTCATACTTCAGTTCAGTCACATCTGCATCATTCTTCAGTTTTGACAGAAATGAGCCAATAACATTCATGACGAAGATAAAACAGGAAAAGAGCAGAGGACGAGTCTGAAGTTTGGGAGATAGTTTTGTGCAATTCTGATCAACTCCCAGGCCATAATAAAATAAAAACCTGAAAGTTAACATAATATGCAATGCTTTTAAAAACACACCACACACACAATTTAAAATATCACATTCATTCATTCAGTACTTTCTTTTTGACAGGGTAATTTCCTCCATTTTCACAATCCAGAGTTCTTTAAAATATTGTAGTTCCTTTTCCTTCATCTGTAATTACATAAGTCTTACCAAAAAGAGGGAGGAACATATTTAAAATAAAGGAAGTATGAATAAGCAAGGCTTTCATTAGAAGCTTGCATACATTGGGACTGAGTCCTAATGAATCTGAATTATTTCCAAGTAAAACAATTTAGGAATATTTTTAAACTTTTATTTCTTAAAGAGCAGGGCCAAAACAATGGATATAAGTGGAACTACATGTATAGTACTATAGAAAAGCCAACTTAAATCAAATACACATCTCTGAATACTCCTTACAATAAGAAACCAATTTTTTTTCTTATCAAGTAATACATCATTTCACTTCGTAATACTTGACAAAACACTCCTTGAAGGTTTATCTTGGCACACATAAATAAAACAATGTGATCAAGAGCAATCTGGGTCACCAATAGCTCTTAATAGCCTTGGACTGTTATCTTTCTTTATATTCTCACTTAAGACTGTGGTGAATTTTCAGTCAGGTTGCGTTATTACTATTAAAGGGTTATTGAATTTAACCAATTTATGGAGTTTTCCACCACAAATCAATAATCGTTTAAATTTATTAACTAACATATCATTGCAGATAGTGTTTGGTAAATGAATGCAGTTGTCCTGCATAGTGGCAAAAGCAATTTGAATATTTATGCATAAAATTATCTCCCAAACTTCAGACTCTAGTCCTTTCAAGGGGCTTAAGCAGCCATATTACAATATAGTATTCACAAAGAGAATTTTTTAAAAAAAGTGAAAAATACAATGGATTTCGAGTTACTGAAACCTGCATGAAAAGAAAAATACGTAAGCTCCTTTAAACAACAATTAACTGTGTATATATACTGTTATAAAGAATGCATATATTTGAGAAATAAAGTTTAAACTTTATTCCATGGTTATAACATTTTTAGATTAAAAGTTTAAACTTAGGGGTCATCAGTCACAAAGGACTAGAAGTAAGCTTAAACTGATTTGGTATACAAAATCCCATTGTATCTATACTAAATCATCAATAATTTATAGTGTTAATTTCAAGGATATCATTCCTGAACAACTCAAGTTGACTATACAGCTCTGACAAACCTCAAGACTCTCTAATATCTTAAACTCATACTTACAGTTTCCTCAAAATTATTAAATAACTTTAACTCAATTATGCATTTTAGGTATCACTAGAGAGCAACATATGCCTAAGTTTTTATGTCCATGTTACAAAAATAAACTCTGGATTTCCAGCTTTAAAATAAAGTTGCTATTCACTGTCTATGAAGCTACAGTAGACTAGAAAAGATCCACCTCAGGACCAGATCTAATGCTTCCAAACATTTACAACTCTTTGTGGTAGCCTGCATGGCCAATAACTACAGCTAGAGGGAATTGTAGTCCAAAACACTTAGACAGAATCAGGTAGGCTATCCTTGATTCCTCAAAAAGAAATCACAGAACTCTGTTTAGACTGACACAATTTTTGATCACATTAATTGGTCACTACCACTTTATTTTGGCATATACTACTGTGTTTGATCTCTTGTCTAATGATGGAAACACTAGTGAATAGGTACATTTTATACAGAGAAGGAAAGGAATGGTTTTACAGAGTGAGCCCAAACCAAAAAGGCAAACTATACTTTAGGATACAAAAGAAAATGAGGTTCAGTCAAGGTAATAATCATTTATTAAACTTGTACGCTGTCTCTCAATAAGAAGAAGAGATCCAGAATAGTTGTAACCCAACTCAGCTGGGAAACCAGCAATTCAATGTGAACTAGCAGTGCATGATATTTATAAAAACTTACAATTCAGCACAACTGGAAAATCTATTAAGAAAACTGTTGTGTTACTAATGTCCTTCATAAAAGATAAGATCTCGAAAATGAAGAATGGATGAAACACATGTCCCCAAAGCTCCTGAAATAATGTAAAATTCCTTGGATCAAGCTTAATGACTAATCATAATTAAGACTATATAAAGCTGCAATGGCCTGTTGTAAACTTAAGATATTCATTGGAAAGCAGAGGATGATGAAGGGTAGCTATTATTCGATTGCATTATAAAGAAGGACAGTGGAGATCAGATGAACATCAAAAGCAACAGAATAAAGGGTCAGCAGATTAGCAGAATTGGAGTGACCATATAAAAAGAAGAGAAAGATGGCGTCCAAGTGAAGCCACCTGCTATATTCATCATATCTTGTTCACATTCAGCTGATTTTTGTTAAATATCCAATACTAGTCTTAAATAGACCCAAGAGTCACTTTGGGAGAGACAGGCGGCTATATAAATACGATAAATAAATTAAATAAATAAATAAAAGCAGTACTTTTTATGCTGCTTTAGTCCATCAAAAACACACTGGTAATTCTTTGGTTATCAGAAGTTCCATCTTCTAAAATATCAGGATATCCTCCTACCTCTGAAGATGACATTTGCATGTCACTTTTCCTTTCTGGCTCCAAAAGCCAAATTAACAACTGCGTTTAATTTCTCTCTTTTAACATTATATTCTCATCCTAATAATTCCACCTATTTGCTTAAAAAAAATGGAAACTGTGCTCCAGGAAACCCTGAAAGCTCCTAGGAATCTTATCAGTAATGGCAGACCTGGTTTCCAGAAAGACCACAGTCAACAACACCCAACTATAGCAGCCTTCCCAACATGAACCTCTCCAGGTGTATCAGCCTGCATCCCCAATTATTCCCAGGCATCAAGTGTGGGGTTGGCTAGTCCCTTAGTGGCCTGGCGTTGCTGCCTTGACCCATCGGCCTCCTGGATTTTTTCCCTTG